GTTCGTTTTTACTTTTTTTCCTCTTAGTTTTTGGCTGTGCGTTGTCGGCTTACTCCTATATTCTCTGTATAGTCCAATGGTTTGTTGCTCGATTTCCATATTTCAAAGGATGCACGGGAGAGGCTGCTTGGGCAGATTTCGCTTCGTGCGCAGTCCCAGGTATTACGGGTGCTGCATTCCCTGTGAGTTCCCAATCCCCCACCTGGTCTCCTTCGATATGATGAATCGTTAAACTCTAATTTTTCTTCTTTTCTATATAGCCCACAATTTTCAATCGCCAATGCCGGTATTAGGATCCATGTTGATAATATGCTCTCTCATCTTTGCAATCCGATTCCCACATCACATGTGAACCCCAATCCTCCCGCTGCCAGCTCAGCTATGGAAGGAAATCTTCCTGAACGGTTCCTTCTACTCTGTCCGACGGATATCATGACTATTTTGGATGTCCTTTTCCCCAAGGCCCCACCGGCTTTCTTCCACTCACCTGAACCATTCCATCATCAATCAATTCCGCCTTCTCCTACTAGTTCATTTTCCTCACGAAACGACCGACCTAATCGAGTATTTGGGCCAAACCTTTTCCAAGGCAGAATTGATACTTTGTCTTCAACCGCCAAAACCGTGTTCACTACCGAGATGAGTTTTCAGGATGCCACAAGGACCTACACGGTACCAAGCAGTAACTCGGTTAGCCCAGTATCTCCTCAAAACTCCCTTGCTCGAATCGCAGACCGTATTCGCTATGAGCTATCTGAGATTAACGAGTCGGAAGATCGCCCTACTATGGGCCATCCATCGAGCGAGGACTGGGCTTTGATCTCTATTTCAAACGGCGGGAACACTCTGGAGTTAACGCCATCTTTCGATCAGGAACTGGAGACTACACAGGTATTTTTCTGTGATGAGTCGGGGAGCCGTTCTAGACTACCCAAGGCAGATGACGATCAGGAGATGTTACAGGATGCCATTGTCAAGCTGATTGATGACTTTGAATCCCTCGATGGCTTCTTTTCGTATGATCCAATTTCTTCCCCTACAACAGGGACAACTGAACCATCCCTTAAGCTGAAATTTGCCCAAGCTATGAACTACTGTCATTCCCATGCTGACTTTGTTGGTGCCCATTACTGGTGGAATGCCTCTCGACTTCTCCAGAAATCTTACCCAATGTTCTGGGCCACCCGAAATCACTCTAAACTTTTGAACCCCATGTATTTATCATTGAAAAAATCCATCGAGAGGTCAAGTGCCGTCATTAAAAGTTGTGAAAGCAGGATAGTGGATCTAAAGCCGGCAATGAGTCGACTTCGGTCTATGACCAAAAACATAATGACAGGTTTAGCGAAGCTGAGAAACAAGATGTGGTATATGACTGATGTCAAAAACTCGCTGAGATATGAAGAGGCGAAAAGTGTCGCCCTCGCACTACAGACAATGGCTGGACCGCAGTCGGTATCGCCGATTCCCGAGCCGAAACAATCACGGTACGGATCACGAACTCTTGGCGCATCATTCCTTCAGAAACCGGAGATTCAGACTATGAATGCGATGAAAGCACCGGGAAGCCAGGGTGGTCGATCCAAATTGTCTGACGAACAGGTTGACATGACGAGGAAGTGGTTGCAGCGTTCTGGCATTGATAACTTCTGCAAGGGTGAGGAACGGATCCATCGGTTTTGCTTGGAGATTAAAACCGCAGTCGGGAAACTGGTTGGGGACACCATGTATGAAACACCGGTTTTGTGGTCTAGTGAGCTCTATCAGAAGGAACGCTCTATATACGATGCATCTGGTGCGAGGACTGTCACAGGGCTTTCTGCGTCGAACATTCGACCCTCAAGCATCGCCAGTGAAGAGTCGCTGTATCAGCCACCATCAAGCATAGGTGCGGGCATGAGCTCTCGGCCGTTTGACCACCATATCCTCTCTGTAAACGAAGCACCATCGATAGTGAGCAAATCATCTTTCCAAAGCCTTGCGTCTGAGAGATGGAGATCTGGCCGGGATGCCGCTTGTGGTGATACTTCTTCTATCGGTGACTCACCTGGTAGAGCTATATCGACATCCGCAAGTGACTCCACGTTCTGGTCCCCAATGCACACACAAGCACAGTCCACAACGAGCGCGTCGAGTTTCCACTCCCAGCTCCCCTCAATGTTTGATGATGTCTTGACATCCAGAAGGACCGAGCGGAATGTTCATGGCAAAGTTGCATTTTTGGACGAACTTAGGCAAACCCTAACGAGTTTGTTGTTGAGCGATCTTGGCTCTCCTGTTTGGAGTTGTGGAAGTGAAACCGATGCTTGGTTTTCGATTTATTTGAACCAGCCACGTATCCAACGACAGATGGAGAGAAGGGCACGCCTGGAAAGATTTTTAGAGGAATGTGCGTCTGGCACTGATGAGAGTGATGGGAAGAGTTCTTCCATCTCCCATCGACTCAGACGAAGCAAATCTGCGGACGCGATTCTGCTTAGGGTTGTTAACGCGCACGCGGAAACAGATCGCCGTACACCAACCCCGACGCAGTCTTTATATCTGAAGGAAACGCCGGATGACACGTTTGATTTTGCCTATGAGTCTGTTTTTCGCCAGTTGATGGACAGGTTTTCTCGACAATCCAACCCTTACACCAAGCTTAAAGCACTGCAGGACCTTAGGTCACTAGTGATCTCATCATTGATCTCCGCATATGATAATCAGGCTGTGGTGGGTGTTGGTGCGTCGAATGGAACCTCATCTGCTCAAACAGGATCCAACTGCTTTCAGCACAATAGCTTGTCAGAAGGATCGAGATTTCAACCATCACAGCCACCTTTTCCACAGGTCGACAGCCGAAACCAAACCCCTTACTCCCCCATGTGTGGATCCATGACATCATGTCATTCCTCATTTGCAACCTACACACCCTCTGAATCAGAAATTATAATCGCAATGCGCGACCTAATCCAAAGCATGCAACCAAAAACCCTCTTCCGCGACCTCCAATTCATCTCTGCCTTCATCCCATCCGAAATTCTCAACAAATCTGCAAGTGGGACTGCATTCCTCCAATTCGGCCTGGCCGCATTCGCCTTGAAAGACGACGTGTGCAACAGCATGGTCGAGATCGCGGATAGTATCGTCTCGCAGGAACTCAGCAAGCGGCAGCAGCGGCACCATCATCATAATCACCAACACCATCACACTGAACTGTCCCACTTCGCTGTCAGCAATTTCGATACCTCCACTCCCGCTCTCGAGGACGCGAAGTGGATGTGGATCAATACAGCGCGCGAAGGAAACCCAGTTGCCCAGCGAGAGCTGGCGATCCTCTACCTGACGCACCCGGAGATTCTTCCACGTGTAACTCTTCCCCTTACAATGCCGCGCGACACGTTCAAAGCGGAAATGATGTATCGGCGTGATGGGGATTCCAAGTCCGATCCGCAGAGTATGTGTCTTGCACTGCATTGGATGCAGTTGTCGGCTTCTGGGGGGGATGAGTTGGCTAGAAATAGGTTGAGGGAGAGGGAAGAGTTTGATTTGATTGCTTAGGGCTACTTATTTCGTCGTTGTGTGTTGGTTTGGTTTCTCATTGATCTGAAATTCCTTGTTCTCTTCCGGCCTTTATCAAATTTTATCAAATTTTTATTTTTATTTTTTCATTTGATCCTTTTACGCAATGGTTCCGTGGTGATGTCCTATTCACTCCTTCATGTTCTTCTTGCAGTTTTCTAGCATGTGTTTTAAATGATTTTGCGTATTTATCCTGTCATTGTTCTTCTAAGTCGCTGTGTTACTGCTCTGGATACCAAGGTATGATGTTTTTATTTTTATGTCTGTGTCATTTCCTAACGTTTACGTTTCATGGGATTGGATAATAGTGCCCTTATTTATTTTACACGTTGTTGGCAGTCTGGTTTCTTCATCTTTTATTCATTTTTTCCTCCCCGCTTCTAAAACCCCATCGTTCTATTTGTCCTCTAATCTGTCTCTTTATTTCCCTTTTAAGTTTGTTTATGGGAGGATGTCTGGATTTTGCTGCTCCGCTGCTGCTTTGAAGACCTCATATCTGCGTCGCATCCCTTTTCGCTGTTTCTGCCTCTTGTCTCTTGCGTCTACACCGTGCCGTTGTTCCATGTATTCATCTATATTTCCTATCTTAGTTTTGATTCGTTCTGCAATGACATTCATTTTCTGGCTGGAGCTTGCTTAAAGTACAACAACTATGGGAGGCAATCTGTGTCGTTTTCAATGCTCCGTTTTCTGTGCTTTGCATTTGGGACAGTTACTATTGCCGTTGCTTTTGCGGTTGAGAACATGTTTCAATGCTTATTTTCTTCTCAGTCTCTTGTACTGTTTTGCCATGAACTGTGTCTCTTGCTGCCCTGCTTCTTCCTTTATACTTATATATCTTCTATTTCGTTGATTTATGTTGCCTTCTATATCTATTTGTTGGAATATCTATACATTCAACCATTTGCTTTTTGTGGTATTTTCCGCTCCTTTTTGGATTTTAGATGTTTTGTTATTGTTTTTTTATCTGGAGGATACAATCTTTTAGGAGAGAGTATAAAATATATATCTAGTATTTGAATGACCCACACCTTCCTATTCAATATCTTATTCAGTTCTTTCGCTTGGGAACGTTCATTAATTAAGTCGGTAACTCTGTTGTAGATTCTCTGCAAATTATTTCCTAACGCCACAAGTTCTCAGCAATTATTGGCGATATCGACTCAATAATATAAGAGCATCCCTGTTCCTTTGAATACCCCACAATGTGATCTGGGGAAGATCTCCATGGCTAGAGAAAGAGTTAAGGGTTCTAAAATTGAAGAGTGAAGCCGATGATTGATCCGCATGAAGTGCGGTAGTGGAACCATGAAATCACAAATATAGATATCTGTGATTGTTGGGAGTAGTTGGCAGTATTTAAATCGACAGCCAATATGTACTGGACGACACACACTACAGAATATCAGACGTATGAGGAACAAGTCCTTCTATAAGTCATGAATCCAGTCAACATGCAACCAACAAACTTCCACCAGACGAGCTCTGGTTATATGAGAGACAAATACCTTTAAACCCTTGAAAAAATATAAATAAAGAAATAAAGAAATAAAGAAAAAATATATATGAATAAATAAATAAAAAGTGAGCCCTACTTGTACCAAGTCAACACGGAAACTAAACCTCCCGTTTTAAACAGTCACTGGCTGCTCGTCCGGCATCGATCACGCGGTTAACTACCACTTTTAGTCGCGACTAAACCGGGCCCACGCCTTATAGCTAGTGGTTGCACCCTCTCATATCTCCCTGAGGACTATGTCAACATTCCCAAGATTGCTCTGGACGTTTCATCGCCTGGTTCCGTAAACGAAGCCTTTGCTGCGGCTGCAAAGCGTTTTGGCAGCGGTGACGACAAAAGCAGCACCTTCCATCATGATGTCGTTGTCAATTGTGCTGGCTACTCGCTCTCTCTGAGGGGATACAGAAGCGGGCATGGAGAAAGAGAGCCATGCGGAGATTGAGACACTGTTCTTTGGAACAGCCCGCATGGAAAACGAGGGCCATTGAATTAATAAATGGAAATAAAATAGATGGTGATGATGGCTGTAGACGGTGAGGGTTGATTTTTAATATTTCCAGTATAGCGGGGATTGTGTGCGTTTCCTGGCCATGCTCATGATCACGCGGGGACATTTGCAGTTGGAGGGGTTTTCGGAATCGGTGGCTGCATCCGGATTGGAGCAGTGAGTGTATACATTATTGCAATCTGCAGTTCAAATTTTTTAAAAAAAATTCCTTTGCCAGCCCTTCAATTCCATTGTTTGCTAACAATAACCCCTCCCTATTCCTCTATGGTTTAATGCAATTACCAGTCAGCATCTGTCTCGTGGAGCCAAGTGGCGTCGAAAACAATCTTCGAAGGGCATAAGCAAGGCCATAAACCAGCCACACCTAGCCTAGCCAGGTGATGACATGCCAGCCTGGGAGCTTGACAAGTATGGGTCTCAGGATATATAGTGGTGCCATTCATAGTATTTAGGTGAGACTCTCTTTCATATCAAAAACCGTGGGGAATGTGGTCCGCTCCGCTTTCTCCTAGGCTTGACCTGTTTGAACTTGGCAAAGTCGCAGTTTGAGATACTAATGAAGGAGGAGTTTGAGGCTATCAAGGATATTAGCTCCTTGGGTCAAGGAAATGGAATTTGTATGTTCTCCAAGTGTTGATTGGGTTGAACTTCGTTTTTGAGGAAATGCAGATGGTTCAGCAACTGTGGAAAGGGAGGGAATTTCGTCCGTATAACTACTAGTTAGGCTCTTGCCTAGAGCACTAACTAACATAAAACTCTTGATATGTAATAGGACTTCAATTATTTCGGTCAGTTAATCTGTTTACGGAGCAGAAGCTGAGTGGATATACGGCGTGGGGATATGAGATCATAAAAAGGAGTAAAAAAAGGGGGTGAAAATGTGCTGACCTAAGCGACTATCCACGTGACCGCTGTTACGTCACCGGTCATTGGTTCCCCTCAACGTCAACCTATCCAAGGTTTTTCCTTTTTCTTTTTCTTTCTCTTCAACAACATTCATTCCAATCTTTTTGTCATTCTTGTTGCCGTTGTCTGTGGATGATGACCGTCAGGGCCACTACCAAATCCACTGCTTTGCATTTGGTGAAGAATACTTTATCAGATTTTACACAATAGAGGATCTCACTCTGAGTGGATGTTGACTTGCCCCACTTCCCCTGCCCGTTGGTTTAGTGTTCAACTTGCCTCTGAGCAACAAGCGAAACCTGTAAACCAGGTCAGAACCTCATCTACGCCGGCGCATCCATCTATTTCTACTTATCTGTGCTTTGTTTCCGAAGCTTTAGTGATTTCAATTTGATGCTCAATCGATCTTGATCTTGACCTTCATCGGTTCTTATTAAGTCTAAATTATTATACTCCGCTACTGGATAAGCTGAACTGGTGCGTCTCAAGCTACTCGCCCTTTGCCCAACGACGAGCTTCTTAGATTTTCCAAACTCAGTGTAATCACATAGCAGATTTCCTTTGCTTTTTTTTCCTTTTCTTTCTATCGATGTAAGAGTGTTCATTTTCTTGAACCCCAACTAACGTGATCTGTGCAGAGGCGCCATGAGAGATCAACCGCATCCCAGGCTGCCCAGTGGCGAGAGCGTACCAGCACGACCAAAAGGTGAGAAGATATTCCTGTGAACTCTACTGCAACCTTGTAAACATGGTTTACAAAAGATATTTTGCCTTTAATCACCTAATCAATTTACTCTGGATCCAGGCATCCTGAAGAACAGCTCGTTCTCCAATTCCAGGTCTCCCCATGGCTCCGCGAGACTAACGTCTTCGACCTTCTCCTTGGACCCCACCACAAGCCAACAATACCCATTTGATAATAAAGAACTCACCCTCCAAAACACGCTACAAAATGCTGGCCGTTCTCCCGCTGACACCCGACATTCATTATCCCGCCGCCAATCCAATGCCTCCGGTCCCAACGGCAGGCTCATACATGACGATGATAACTCACCCCGCCTGAAGTGGGACGAAGTAAACCTGTACCTCACGGAACAGGAGAAATCTTCAACCATGAAAATTGACGAACCGAAAACACCCTACGTCCCCCGATATAATCCCGATGAAGACGACGATGACGACGTTGATATGGGCATCGGTGCGGATGATTTGGCTGTTGATGAGCTGGATATGTATAAGGTGCGGCAACATCGTGTTCGTGATGAGGATATTCCTGGCTTGGAGCTCGGGGAGCCTGAGGAGTCTGGCTGGGAGGATGGCCAGCTAAGTGGTTCCGGGAGAATTTCTGAGAGCAGCCGTAGGATGAGCAGTGGGAGTTCGGGACGGTCGGAGAAGCATGTCGTTGTAGGAGAGGATGGGAGCGCGGACGATCGTGCCGCTAGGGACTATAGCTCGGAGGCAAGTCGGAAGCATCATGATTTCGAGGAAAAACGGAAGAAGCATTATGAGATGAGCATGGTGAAAGGGTTGCTCGGGTACGTCATATCTATATCTTTGCACTTTTCCCGATCCGTTTTGGCTACGGCACGTTGCTTAAAATTGTTTCTTCTGACACGACATATAATTGGCAGTCACCCAGAAGACATCGACGCTCTTGCGGGAGATGACGATGACGATGCAGATGGAAATGATGATGCTAGAGAAGACAGGCAAAGCAATGGCGTACAACATCCGCCTCCCATGCCGGGTACAAATACACAGCAATGACTTAGCCGTGCTAACGGCTTTTCGTCATAGCTACTCTGTTTTATACTCGTAAATGACGCCAAATCTCCATTCACGTTCCCCTTAGAGTACGGTACATCTTGCCCTGCCTCGAATGGATTGGTTGGATCATGCTTGATAGTCATCGGAATAGTTCAAGTTCTTTGTCCACTCCAGACATCGCCCATCTCCTGGATTTCCTCGTGCCTTGTTTATATCAAACTACAAGCAATGTTTGCATTAGTTTATTAATTATTTTTTATTTTTTTTATTTATTTTTTATTTTTGCTTTCTTCCCGCATCGGTTCTTCTAGCTAGCATCTCATGACCCCTTGTCCTTGTACATACCTTGCTGCATGTTTGATGATTTCAATTTTCTTTTCATCATCTTGTTTTTTTTTGGCATCTTCCTGATGATAATAGGCGAATCAAAACTGAATCCCCCTGACTCCTCCTACTCTCCTCCTTTCGTCGAGTTTTATTTTGCTTCTTCCACTTTGGATATGGATCTGATCATTATGACGTACACATAAGGAGAACTTCGAATCGCCACCAAAGGCATTTCCGAGTAATTAAGATGAACTACTATTTTTTATTTGATCTTATTTGATATTGTCTCCTTCGTGTGTTGGAGATATCTTTTCCCTGGATCATTTATCTTTATCCCTATCCCCCTGTTCTCCGTAACGCACCGCAACCAAACTCACAATTTATTCAACGAGCTCGATCTGACGAGAAAACATCCCTTCTGGTTGGCTGGATTTTTCGTGTCAATTTGGCGATTTGTTTTACATCTCGGCCACCCATCCCCTTACATGCCTGCACTGTGCATATCCACCAGCTCCTCATCTACCTGCTATTATCATACCTTTATACTCTGGATTTATCGTATCCAACTGATTCAATTAATTAATACCCAACCTTTCAATATCCAGGGAAAGTTCTCCCTGTAGTTCCTTTTAACACAAATCAAATTTCTGTATGAATTTGCAAATGGCCCATTGAATGAATATCTTAATAACTTTGTTTCACTGATCGTTTCTTCATATATTATACAAAATCCGCCCCAGCAACCACCCAATAACCTAGCACATCCACAGCCCTGAATGCTCCACGATGTTAACCACTGCCCGTGTTGATGACACTATATGTCGTCATCATCCACGTACAATATTCGGTACGAAACATGCAGTACACGCTCCGCCTTGATACGTAACATCCAGGCCTCAGTCGAAACCAGAGGACAGGAAACTTAGATCTTCATCCGCCCAACAAACTTTATGGACCCATCATGCTCATACCTCACCAGATCCCCCGTTCTGAACATTCCGACCGGCTGTTGAGAAGGTCGTAGCTTGGGAAATTTCGCAAGCCATTCGGGGTCAGCGAAAAACGGGTTCTCTCCCACTTCTTTCTCCTTCTCCTTCCCACTCTTGTCCTCCTTCTTCTTCCCACTCTGGTTCTCATTAATCCCCTTCCCCTCATCCTCCTTCACAGTCACATTCCCCTTCTTTTGCTCATTCCTATTCTCCGTATCCCCTGTCTCCTCGTTTTCCCGCTCTTTCTTAGTATTATCCCCGTCCTCCTTCTCCTTCCCTTTCCCCTCCCACCCCGGCTCTTCTTCTCTTTCATTCTCTTCCTTATTTTCAGTCTCGTCCTCATTCCCATGCTCATTGGTGTTCTCCGTAACATCCTTCTCCCAATTCCTCCGATACTCCTCCATCGGCTCTGGATTCTCCTCCGGTACATAATACCGACCAAGAATGCCCCCTTCAACCACGAGCTCACCAATACTACCAATAGGAACAAGCGCACCACACGCATTTCCCGGCTCAGCAATCCACGTCCTGCAAGTCAACGCGCGCCCGATATTTAACCTGCCGAGGTATTTCAATCGCTCCTGGTGGCTCGCGTCTGTGAGGGTGCAGCACAGGGTAGACTCCGTGCTGCCGTAGAGATAGAATAAACTGACATGATCCTGCCACTTCTCTACATCTCTGATCGTGAGGCCGTCCTTGATGACAGAGATAACCTTGAGTGTAGGCACCACTTCCGCGGTTAGTTCGCGTAAAATGGTAGGGGTGGGGAAGATGTGAGTAGCTCTAGCAGTAGAGACTGCATGAGAAAGATCAACTTCCCTATTACATTCTGTAGGACAACAAACACACCCGCCATTGACCAGGGTGCAGAGGATATCAGCTATGCTTACATGAGAGCTGAGTGAGGAGCACTGAAAGATTCGCGATTGGTCGTTGATTTCCAGCGTTTCTCCAAGATTAACGATGTTGGTGCTGATGGAGCCATGATCGAGAACGACGGGTTTTGGCGGCGAAGTGACACCGGATGTGAACATGATCATGGCAGGCCAACTAGGGTCAACATGTGGGTCGTAACTCTCGGGGGCTGGAGGGAGCTCAGATATAAGTTTGGGGAGCTCTGTCATTACAAAGCGGACGTGGCCAGCAAACAGGTCCGACATGGACGGGTCTGTTAAGGCAAGTCTTACATTCTGGATAGATGAGAAGTAATGTGTCTGGTTGAGAATATCGATTGGTATACAAACGGCGCCAGCACGAAGAACAGATAACATAGCAATGATAGCCCATTTGGACATGTCCATGCTGAGAAACACCAACTGTCTTTTTTTGACTCTGAGATCATAAATATAATATGAGAAGCGAGTAGAGTATTCCCACAGCTCGCGGAATGTTAAGGGCCCATCCCAACCGTCATATGCAAGGCCCTTTGGTTGAGAAAGCGCCTGGAGATGTATCGGGTCCTGAATGCACATACATATGACCTGTTGCCATGGATCTGTTTTGTTCCAGCGCTCTATTCGCGTCCTGTCATAATTTGAAAGCATGTCTAACTTTCTCACGGTTTGTCTTGGATCGTCCAGGACGCCCTTGATGGCTCTTTTCAAAGTTTCGCGTAAGCCTTGAGCTACAGCGCCTGTCATTGAAGAAGCGCGGAAGCGGAAAGCGATAGCTTCAGACGACACGCATAGTTGCAGGTCGATCATGTAAGGACACTGGGCATATCATTTCAACGATTTAGATGAAAGTACGCGGATAGTAACAGTTTGAGTCTTTGCTTACAATTAGATTGCTCTTGTCAGTGACATAATTAGAAATATCCTCTGTCACCAAATGCAACTCTGTGTTGAAACGTCCAGGAGAGTGTTCTAACTCGGGTGGAGGACATCCCTTCCGGGGGTCTGATTCCAGTTGCTTCATGGTGTCAAGAATGCTGTCTGTTTCCGCAAGACAGACATGACACCAAGATTGGAGAGAAGGGTATGTCTGCACGTCACCAGTGGGATCAGACGTGATGACCACGCTGTCTGCCACAGCGCCCATCTCCACCACTCCAAAGAAGACTTCATTCGCATTGGTAAATTTTCTCAGGAGCAAAGCCCACAAGACCTTGTAGAAGGTTAGAGGGGATATCGAATGCTCAACGCAAAATGAGTCAGCTCTTGAAGTTGTGCCGTCTGATGTGTTGTCGCTTGCCTTGAAGAAATTGTGGCCGATTTTGGGTGGACAATGGTGTTCATTGACAGGGAAAAGACAGGGACTGAGTGTTGTGAGAACCATTACAAAGAAGAGGGTGTCAATGAATGATGAGAGGCGTGCTAGATTTCTGTTTTAAATGGAGAATGTGTTGTGTATCAGGATGATGATGATGATGATGATGATGATGATGATCATGTCTGTCAGATGTGTTGCTCTAGATTTGATATTATGATCTAGATGGGAGGGATTAAGATAACAACAACAACAGAATGTCATTCATCACAACAATAACAGTGTAAGTAATAAATGCACACATTATAGAGAAAGAAATAAAGACTGATAAGTACGATATTTCTGCAAAACATCATAGAGATAAAAGTTTAGAGAAAAGCTCTAGAATATGAAGATCAAGTTATTCATTCAATTCTCTTGTAGACTTATTCAATCCGAGGGAAAGCCAATAACCTCAGAGGATATATAACTTATAGACAGCAGTGAAAATGTTGAAAAGGGCCTCTATCATCATATGCCAGAAGAGAATATACGTTTGCTCAACGGCTAAGAGATCTGGGAAGTGAAAATGATCGAAGGTTGAAATGATTTATCTCAGTCACGTGCTGAAGACAGGAACAATAAGTGGTTATCTGCTACATATTTGTCTTCAAAAAACAAATAGCCCGGGGATATTCCCAGATTCATCAACCCTTTCAAGCCATCCTGTAGCCAATCTAGGGGTTAGAGAAGATGTCTGGAGGAGGATGATAGATATAATGAAGACTCCAAGGGAAACATCGCACAATTAAAAATAGCGGAACGGATATGAATGGTACTTGGTACGGATGAACGCAGATGGATTTGAAAACAGCTGGTGATATTTGGATAACGACGGATGACGGCGGTGTATCGATATACGGAAGTGTCATGAGAAATATTTCCAATCCACCAACCTTGTAGAGCTCGTAGAAATACGAGTTTTAAACAGAGACGCTCTGCAGGGAGTAACTGGTGGATGGTCACCGTTCGCCACCCCTCCATCATGCCCACCGACTCAAGAACAAAGACACTCCGAATTCCCCGATGCCGTTTGACCAGATATAAAAGACTTGCTGATCTATGCAGTACCCGGGCCCAGCACAACTCTCTACCACAGTGAACAGTGGAGGGGTGGCAGGAAATGAATCTCTTAATCTATAATCTTCTCCCTCAGAAAGAGAAGGGGCAGGCCGATTTTAAAGTTGAGGTGCCTGGATTTAGGGGAAGTTTCGAGCAGGTTAGGTATGGCGATCTATGGTTTAGATAATAGCTTGAAGTTTGAGCTAGCGGGTGCAATATAGGATGATTAAAAGTTAATTCAGCTAGTTAACTTAGTTAATAGGATGCGTGGGTAAGAGAGCAGCCAGCCAGTTAGGTGTGTGTTTCATTTTCCTTTTGTTTCTGCAAAATACCACAGCAGAGGACCCTGATCCAATCTGCTCGGGGACAGAGTTCACACTGGGGTGACAGGAGCCAGGATGAATCTACGGATTGTTTCGCAGGTGGAGCCGGAGATTTGAAACATGCTTGGCGGGAAAATGCAAAGAACATATGGTCTTCTCCGCCAAGAAGAGAGGGATCTGCACACGGGATGAATTTATGAAGGGTTGGTTTTGCAGGGCTCAATATTGTAGTTCAAAATGCATGTTTCGAATCCTTGAGCTGTTCCTGCCTCCCCTCGTTGAGTTCGTTGTTGACGGGATAGCAATATTTGCCACCTGGTGTGATCTAGTTAGCTAAAGCCACAAAGAAAAAGGGGTACAAGCTGCCTCTCAAGAGTGTCAGTCTGATTAATGCAGCCCGGGCAAGCCATACTCCGTAGACCACCATCTAGATCATGCCTGTAGGAACTCTATGCTGGCACCACAGAACCTTGGGAGCAACGCTTGCTTTAGGGTGCACAGAGATAGAAGAAGCAAAAGCTGACTCAAAGAGCCAACTAGAGCAACAAAACGCATTGAGCATCCCACTGCATCCCGGACTGCAGTGCTAGGCATATATTAAATTGAGGGACGGGATGTTGTTGAAGAGTTGTCTTAAGTTGCAGGGAACAGAGTTGATGGATCCCAGCCAAAGGATACATACAGGAAGGGAGGGGGGTGGTTCCACGTGACCTGCAAGCTGGGGGGCAGCTTCTCCCTGTTTTTTTAGCGCGGAGGAAGCTTCCAACCAACGAAAGACAGCGCGGGCTAGTCCCGAAGCGGCAAGGCTCCCTTCTGTCTCCTTGTTTGTAACCCCTTGCCTCACACAGCCTGAAACTAAACTAAGTCGATGCTGACTGTGCCTGCTCCACCGCCCAACCCATCTGCCAAACTTACTATTATTAACTATCGGTATTAGTTATTATTTTTATTTTGCGACAGCTCCTGGTTTTGATTCCCCCGTCACCTCGACTTCACGTCTCCCACACACACACACACCACACACCACACACCATACACACACCGCAACACCGCACACCACACACAGAAACATAGATAACTACATACGCAGAGCAGCTACCACAGGTCTACGCTCTGAATCTATATTCCCTCTACTTTTGCCCGCCGGACAAGCGCGTTCAAGTCGTCTCAAACAGATCAGCTGAAGGTACGTATCGTGAGATGTCCGGATTTGGGACGAAAAGGCTATTGATTTGACCTCTTTATGTTATGAATTGTTCTTCCCCCGGCTACTGCTCATAGCAACGCGTTGGCTAACCTCTGTTGATCAGGCAACCCTACTACACTCTCGCATACATACAGAGCTTCAATCACATCCCCCCCTCTGGCACAATGTCGGAAGCTGAGAAGCCTACCCAGCCAGTTGCTGCTGCGGCTGCTGATGCCCCCGTCGCTGCTGAGGCGACTCCAGAGAAGCCGCATGAACAGCAACCTGCGGATGACAAACCCTCTCAGAACGAACGGGTTGAGAAGTCAGAAACTCCTTCTACCCAAACGCCAGCTGCTGCTGCTCCTTCTGTGACCCCTACTGCTGCGGCTCCTGCCCAGTCATCAGGTGCAGATGCCATTGAGGCCCAAAAGAAAGATGAGCCTGCGCCTGCACCCGCACCCGCACCCGCACCCGCACCGGAAACTAAGACCCCAGAAGCTCCGATTGACAACCGACCAGAGTACCTGTCAAAGAACCCAGCCCTGAGCCAATTCTTCGAAAAGCTCGCGTCCATTCTCAACAAAACCGGCCACAACGAGATGTGGGGTGTCACTCTCAAGGATTCTGATGACGTGCCCACTGTCAATGTTTTGATTAAGTTCCTCCGCGCAAACGAGGGTAATGTCAAGCTGGCTGAAGAGCAGTTGACCAAGGCTCTGGAATGGCGCAAGAAAATGGATCCCCTGGCACTGGCCGACAAGGCCACGTACAGCGCAAGCAAGTTCCAGGGCCTGGGCTATGTTGCCAATTATAAAGATCCGAAAGGGGGAAATGTCGTTTTCACTTGGAATGTTTATGGTGCTGTTAAAGATGTTAATAACACTTTTGGTGATGTCGACGAGTAGGTCTTCCTAATCCGTCTTCCCAATCCTTCTTGAAGACACTTTTCACGATTGAACTAGAGCTTTTGTTTTGCTTACTGATACCTTTCTCCCACGTGCCTTTAACAGATTCATCAAATGGAGAGTCGCATTGATGGAACTGGCCGTTCGAGACCTGAAGCTCAGCGAAGCTACATCCGTAATCAACTACAATGGCGAAGACAACTATCAAATGATCCAAGTCCACGACTACCAACACGTCAGCTTCCTCCGCCTAAACCCCACCATCAGAGCCTCCACAAAGCAGACCATCGAAGTCTTCAGCACCGCATACCCAGAACTCCTCAAGGAGAAATTCTTCGTCAACGTCCCCGCCGTCATGGGATGGATCTTCACCGCTCTCAAGGTGTTCTTGAGCAAGAATACCATCAGAAAATTCCACCCCATCACCAATGGCGCGAACCTGGCTCGTGAATTCACTTTCGCTGATGAGCTTCCGAAGAGCTATGGTGGTAAGGCTGCCGAGTTGCAGGAGAGTGCGAGAACTGTGACGCTGAAAGAGGATACTCCCGCACCCACCCTAGCGCCTCCCGCTGCGGAAACCAACGGTACTGCTGCAAAGGATGCTACACAGACCGCGAAGGTGGAGACTGCTAGGCCTACGGAAGACGCAAAACCGGCTGAAACGGCTGCTGCACCAGCGCCAGCGCCTGCCCCGGTTGAAGCTACTGCTCCTGCTGTAGTTGAAAAACCTGCCGCATCTGCTCTCACAACCGCGGCGACTTCTACGGCTTAACTGATGTTGGTGATTGCTCGAAAACTCCACTTATATTCGGTTCCCTTTGCTCATGCTAGTCGTCTTTTTGATTTTATAATTTTATTTGTTATACGGTCGCTAGGTAAATCAGTTCTCAATACCTATTTTGTATCTGTTGTATTTTTTTATTGTGTTTGTTTGTTCTGACCAACCCCGTGTGCCCACAGGGATAATAATATTCTATCCTTCGCTTGGAAGGATGTCTGGAGCTTGTGCCATTGCAAAAAATGGAAAAGGGCAGGTGATGATGGTTAAGGATCGTGGTGGTGGTGGTGGTGGCGGCGGCGGTTTTTAGTACTTGATTTTCTTCCTTTTTTTTTACCATTTTATTTTATTTTGTTTTTGTTATTATTATTTTTTTTTTTTCAATTCGTTTAGATACCTCGAGTTCTCTCTCCTCTCTTCCTATTAACTGGGTTGAGTCTGAGTGGATGGGATTCTCTGTTTCTTTTGCTGTTTTTCCCCCTGTGTTTGCGTTGCTGCCCCAATGATACCAATCAACAAGCTCTTTTATCCCTTACTCTCGAGTGCTTTTGACAAATTTTTTTTTTTTTTTTTGCTCGGATAATAATGCAATGCCAGTTTTGCTCTTTGTGTTTGTTAGTTGTTCATCGTGAAGTTCCTATGGTAGACAGGCGTAAGATTTCGTCCGTAGGAAGAGAGGTATCTAGACTCTTTGTTCGCATTTTAAGCTCAAGTTCCCTATTCCATGTACTCTACGGCAGCCTGTTTCTGCCACAAGCGCACTCCGCCATCTCCAGCCGCAAAACTCCGCAGAGGGAACAAATTAATTGCCTTCATTCATCAACAGCGATGAGCGCGATCACTCGACCCCCCTCACCCCTCGAGTTGAAAAGCTGCAGCTACGTAAGCTGGATTCTCCAATACAGAGTCCATTAAGAGGGATATTTATTCACTGCGACTATTATTACTACAATCACAGGATGCGCAAGCCGGCCACTCGCTGTTGTTCATAACCCCCCCGCCAGTCACCCCCAGCGCTACCCATTTATTGCACACCTATGATCAACTCGACTCACGCCAGTATTCGAGAAGAGATGCTTTCTGCAGCTCGCTGATACCACGATAAGACCATATATAACTCCATCGCAATTATAACCTTTTCCATTTCCACACCCAGATACGCACCGTTCGAAGCTGATCATCAGCTCCAATCGAAGAAGTCAAAGCTCATATAAACAACCCACATACACCGGGCCTCCAACAAAACAAAACCACACTCCTCCTCCCCTTAGCCAAAGAAGAAGGAGAAGCAATCATGTCCGTCTGGAACCCCGAAAACATCCGCGACGTCGCCGAATCCGTCGGCATCGGCACCCTAAACGACGAAGTCGTCGATAACCTCGCCCGCGACGTCGAATACCGCATCTCCCAGGTCCTCGAACAAGCTCTCAAGTTCATGCGCCATGCTAAACGCACCGTGCTAACGACGCAGGATGTCTCAAATGCCCTGCGCGTCTTGGACATTGAGCCACTCTACGGCTACGAGTCGACGAGGCCATTGAGGTTTGGCGAAGCGACGCTCGGCCCTGGTCAGCCGCTTTTCTACGTTGAGGATGATGAGGTTGATTTTGAGAAGTTGATTAACGCGCCGTTACCTAGGGTGCCGAGGGAGATCACGTTTACTGGTGTGTGGTTTTTTCTTTCTTTTTTTTTTTTTCTTCTTCCTTCTTCTTCCTCTTCTTCTTCTTTAAATGCTCTACCATGCCATGTTATGTTTTCCTTTTTCGTATGTGAATATTGCTGACTTGTTCTTGATGTCTTGATATAGCACACTGGCTGGCTGTCGAGGGAGTACAGCCAACGATACCGCAGAACCCCACATCGGCCGATTCACGGAATCTAGAACTTGTGTCCAAGGGTCCCAATGCGAACGCCAATCTGGCCGCGATGAGCGGAAATGATAACGTCTCCGTCAAGCCCTTGGTCAAGCACATCCTGTCCAAGGAGCTACAGCTCTACTTCGAGAAAGTGTGCAATGCCTTCCTGGACGAATTGAATGAGGAATACAGACTATCCGCCTTCTCAAGTCTGAAGGAAGACCCTGGTCTGCATCAGCTTGTGCCGTATTTCGTTCAGTTCATATCTGAGAAGGTCACGCATAGTCTCAAGGACTTATTCGTGCTGACGCAGATAATGCATATGACCGAGGCACTTATTCAGAATAAATCACTTTACGTAGATCCATATGTGAGTCACTGCAGAAAGAACATTCTTCCCAAATCCCTTACCCATACCTCTCCTTTCCTATCACTAACAATAACACCCGACAGGTCCCCTCCCTCATCCCCCCAGTCCTAACCTGCCTAATCGGCCGCCAACTAGGCTCCAGCACTGCCGACCCCCTCGAACACTTCGCCCTCCGTGACCTCTCCGCCTCCCTCATCAACATGATAGCCCGCAAATACTCCCACTCCTCCCACACCCTCCGCCCCCGCCTCGCGCGTACTTTTCTGAAAAACTTCCTAGACCCAGGCAAGCCGCTCGGCACACACTACGGCGCCATCATCGGCCTGCAATCCATTGGTGGCGTGGATGTGGTGCGCGAACTTGTCCTGCCGAATCTGAGGACGTATGAGGTTGTGTTGAAGGATGTGATGGGGGATGAGGGCGGGGTTGGGGGCGGGGTTGGGGGTGGGGTGAGGAGGATGGAGGCTGAGAAGGTTTTGGGAGTTATTTTGGCGGTTTTGGGGACGTTGGTGGAAGAAGAGGAGCAGCGGCGGCGGCTGGGGATTGAGGGCGCCGAGGTTGGTGCGGGATGGTTGGCAAATGGGGTTTCGGAGGAGAGGAAGGCGGAGACTCAAGGGAAGTTGGCGGAGAAGGTTGGGGAGGTTGTTGCGGGGAGGATATTGGAGGGGGGTCAGATAGGGTTGGCGAATGTGATATTGGGGATTCGTTGAGATGGGCAATTTTGTCCTTTCTCGTTGAGTTTTTTCTCTACGGCACTGGGGATAGAAAAGAAGAAAAAGAAGATTTGGGCTGGAGTATTATGGTTTTTCTCCCGTGTGTTTTCCTGGGGCTCTGGGAGCTGGGGAATGGCCGGGCGTTTTGACACCTATTTTCCCCTTTTCTTTCTCGTCATGTTATACTAACTACCACAATGATTCCCAGAACACTTTCTTGTATTATTTACTCTGGCTACAGGCCCTGCTCCTAGCTATGTTCTACCCATTCGTCCATCCATTTGATCGTTGGCAAAGCATTGTCGCTGGAGATTCAGCTGTTGTTGATTCAGCATAGTTTATTGCCTCTCGACACCTTAAAATGCTCTCCATCAAGCAGTGTCTTAATTCAATTGCCGAGCTTAGTTCTTCTGCCCTAGAAATGGGCATGTCGAGCTCGTTAAAGCAGAATTTCAACTCCAGAGTATAGCTCCGATATCGGAAATCCCTACGGCAGCACAACCGGGGTTAGATCTGAGCTGCGCCTTTTCTTTTACTTGCTGTCCGTATCATTTTCTAGTTTTTATTTATTTATTTATTTATTTATTTATTTATTATTTTATTCTTGCTACTTCTTTTCTTGTCAGCCGTAGACTTACTCCGTGTAAGTTGAGCGCGACAGAAAATTATTGAGAATGGGAAGTATCGGAATCCTAATCCAACCCAACACGAGAAAAGTACCCGGGAAGTCCTCCGTAAAAGCAACGGTCAAACTGTCGCTGTTCGCCAGTTCAAGGACGGTGGTGTGGTGGTGGCTGGTTGTGTTGCGAACGACGGTGTGCCTACGTCTTGCAGTTGCATAGCTCCGGATAAGAATTGCGTGAGGACTTCAGGCGATATTGGGCTCCACGGAAACAGATCTTCCTCAGTACTCCCTAATTTTTATTCCCTCCCTTTTTTGAAAATTTTTAACGCCTTTTTCTAGCCCTTTTTTTGAGGCATGGGCCAGGCATTTATGCAAGTACCAAAATTGTTTCCTGCAGTCGTTATCTGAGGCCGAACCAGGTCGTACCTAGGCAGTATGTGACTACCCACCAAGCCTTCTTCTAGATGGTAAAGAGTTATCCAGCGAGTTGGCCCGTAACCACCAGCTCTGAGGGTTGCACTGGCACTGGCACTGGGTATCGGAAGTGATGGACGGTCCGTCGCCATTGGCAGGTTTTGTTTTTCAGCATGTATATTTTTATCTTGCATATTTTTTGTTCTATCGCATCCCAGTCCCTGCGAACATGAAGAGGAGCGGCGTGAGAAAGGTGCTGCGACTCATAGCTGATAATGTCCCTAACAGAGCAGAGGATGGATGGAAATGAAGCAACTTGACTCGTTGAATCGTCAGAACAAGTCGCTGAAGTCATTGCGGGCCGCTGGAGGAACAACATTATTCCGAACCCACACTCCGCACGCATCATCGTTGTTTGGTGTCGCTTTTTATCTTCTCAACCTCTTTTTTCATGTTGTGCCCACGGATTCGCGGATTCACCGACACAGAAACAGAGTCAAATTACGGTAATAAAGGTTCTCGATTTTCCGAATAATCGGGGCCTTGCTCTCAGGCTAAACGGACATATTCCCAAAGCGGCTTGGTGCTGTCGTTCAGCTGTCCTACAAAAGGACCTCCCCCATTTCCAATCGCATCCCACTTCAACAACTCTGTTCCCTCAACCTGCTGTTGTTCAGTAACCCAACCGGTAGACTATTTATATCTGCTGCTCTCTCCATGTGTGTGTGTATATCTTAATTCTTTGACAGGGTTCGTTTCCTGTCCCTCTTAAACAAATTCGGTCATATATCTGCTTCATTTGGCTCCCAGTTATCCTGCTCTCTCTCCAAACTTGGGTTTGTCTCTTCCCCCCACTGCTTCTGTCATACAAATACCACTCACCCAACGATCTCTCGTATACCATCCTTATCTTCCTCTGCTGTTTTGTTATTGCCTTACGTATACTCGTCGTGCGTTGTCAGAACCCCTCTCACAGTTTCATACATCGTTTGAACCGCTGATGATTCGCCTCCGAAACCTCACACAGCTAATCTCTCTTCAACTCCAAAAACATTAGGTCGCAATTCAATTATTTACTTATCGCGAGGAAACAGAGGAGATTCTGAGCCGTTATCGATGTTCTAAAAGTACAGATGAGCAAGTCACATTCGACTCGCTGAAGAGAAGCATCCTTTTCTCTCCATGACCCGGAAAGATCTCCTACGATTTCTCTCAAAGCCCCGGAAGTGAGTCCCGCCCATCAATTCACTCCCACCACCAGGTAGTCTCTCCCCTGCGTGGTTTTGTCTCCAAGTATAGATTCACTGTATTCCCTGATGCCAACTTGGCTACGTTACACTATTTGTCGTCGTCTTGTCTGTGATTATGGCGGGGTCCAAATGGCATTCTTCTTGCCACAAACATTTCCTGCGCAAACAAGTTAACTGACACTCATCGCATTAAATAAACAGACCACGATAACGTCGCTTTCGAAAATCCCCGAAATACTAACTTTCCCCTTTTTATTCTGACTGTATCTCTAATAAGCAGATAATCCTCGTCTGCTAGACCCGATACTTTTGCAGAGTATCGGTATCTTGCCAGTGCGAGGTACCATTGGCTAGCCACAATTCCTCATCCCAGAGCTTTCTTCCTCCCCCTCTCCGCCAGACCCCCATAACGCCTCTTAAAGGCAGGTACCATTACGTATTGGTTTACATTTTGCTGGCAAAGGAGCCAGCAGTCGCACGCTCCCAGTCCTCGGGCCTACTCTGTCTCAGGCGGACACCGCATTGTTCGTCTGGGTGGAAGATAGTGCTTTCATAATTGTTTTGCTCAATCCAAGGTTTTACGCAGCAACCAAAAGCCCGGTTTTTCTCTTTTCTTGTCCACGACTCCCCTTTTCTAGAACCGAATCTGCTTGACGGTCACGGATATGGTCAACATCAACATTCCGG